AGGTCAACTTAAAGGGCGAAAATGAATAAAATTAAAATATCATAACAACTAATAGTGCAAAACACACAATGACGAACTAAAATGCAAGCAATCTAAAAATGAAAATCATGAAATAGATGATGCATACAATTATTCAAAATTTGGTGTCTACAGAAACCATAGCTTCTCTATGAGTGATAAGATCTGATATATTTGAAATCAAGTACTATGATTGTCTATTTGTTTACTGATAATGGTTTTATTGTCATGTTCTAGGTTCAAAGCATTAGCTCTAATGCTAAGAAGATAGCAAGAAGAGCAGTGAATAAAGCTGTACAATTTTCTTCTAACTTGAATTTGATTTCATAATCTTACCAACATAACTACTACACATACTCATTAGTCATACCACTATTGTGCAGGGAAAAGGCACAAACGTGCAAGAAAGAAAGCAGCTTCATCCCAAAGTAGCCAACAAGCTATTGAGAACAACGTTATTGAGTATTTCTTCCGCACATAATTTCTTCTGCCCCTACTGCTAAACCGAACTTATATGAGGTTTTTGGAACTCCAAATCCATATGTGGCATTTATCAATCCATAGTTGGTCCCTTTGCTTTTGCACCGTTTATAATCAGGGATGTTAAAATTCATCTCAAACTCCCAAGGACCTCTTGGCTAACTTCTAGTAGTGAATATGGTGACAAATCCAATGTTAAAGGAAAAGCAAAGGTGAGCTAATTATGTACTTCTTTTGTTGATGACTGTGCTATAGGTGTGGATACATATGTATTTCTTTTGTTGTATTGGAAGTAATGCAGCCAGAATTCATGACAATATAACCATGTCTATTTATATTTTATAAAGAATTTGGGCAAGGAAAATATGCCTTTTTGATGGTTGTAATGACTAAATTGCCAGATTATGTTATGTTTTCATAGTTATTAATGATTTCTGGGAAGAATTGCTGCAGTTTCCTTTCTCAATTGAGTTATGAATATCTAGGTATCATTTATGAATGCACTTGTGTTTTACAGGGATAATTTCAAAATAATGCCTTCATTTGGCCTCTAAATTGCCATCACTTTACATGTGTAATAAGATGCTTGACAGATATTTACTAATTTGAATGTTAAATCACTGTTAAATAAAGGCTCAAAAATCTTGAAAGATTGATCGTTTTGGCATCAAGAAATGTCCACTACAGTTTACAATACATACTAGCAAGATAATACATCCCAGCCTACACATTCACCCACTCCAAGCAAAAACTAAAAAATTTTGAATGAATGTGTTTTAGCTATTAGCTTGAACCACAAAATGATCACTAGTAGCTTGTTACAATATGCTAAACCAAAGCTATTCCATCCTAATTTCTGGATTTTTACACCAGCAAAATAAACAACAACAATACCAACAACACAATTGCACATACTAATTTTCTTTCCTTGCTCTTAATCTTTCAATTGTGGCATCCTTAGCATTCTTGCTCCGTAGCAAACCAGGTCTCAAAGCAATGGATCTTTGGCACATTACCGGATCCTACCACTCGAAATAGTTGCAACCTTGTTCATCTCTTCTGCCCTTCACAGTCAAGAAAATAATGTTTTAGAAAAAACTTCAAATTCGAAAGCTGAAGCAAGAATTTGAGATGGCCCATACCTTCTTCATGCCACAACTGAAATACCTTCTTCCAGGGCTATTGTGTGTCCAAGAGGTAATCATCATTACTTGCAACTTACAGTGGCAAAACTTTTATAGTACCATGACTACATAAAATGAGATTAGAAGACAAATCTGTCAAAATTTTGCCACAAGTGTGAATGGATGAAGGAAACCCGAAGCTCTTCAATCCCAATCTCGACAAGTCTTTGTTTCTTAAAAGGTGAATTTGACTACAAAGGGTTTTTCTTCAGTTGGGGAAGAACAGAGAGAACGAAAGAAAGAAAGTAAGTTTGGGTATTTTGTTCTTCCACACAGCAATAACCTAATTATACAGTACACTAATACTAATTAATATAATCAACTCCATCTGCTGATTGTGTCTTGTCTTTGTTAATAAAAAAAGGGACTAGAAAGCTTGAAATAATTTTTTACAAGTTTCCACTTTTAAAAAATTGAAAAAGAGATTTTAAGTCCCGGCACGTGCTCTCACATGACTTGTTTCCGGCAAAAAATTGAAGAAAACCCATCAATTGCCCACTTTTGAGCAAAATTGGATGGATTGGGGACCACATTTGTTTTTAAAAATAGATTGGGGACTAATTTCGCGTATGGGTTATAAATTGGGACCAAAACTCCAATTCTTCCCCTCCTCCCCCCTTTTATTTATAGAAAACAAGAATAATTGTGATAATGAGATTGTAGGAATTCGTCTCGTACCATTTGTTTGACAAAGATTGGTGGGGAGTTTCAAAAAAATTTGGCAAAGTTGCCCGATTTTGCAAAGTGAGTTAAACTATGCACAACCTCATTAACTTGTCTAGCAATCCAATTTACATTAGTAATATCGTGTTCTAACAAAGTTAAACAAACATCCTCAATTATCAAGCCAATATCCAATAGAATGTTTTCATTACTTTGGATAAGTTTGATAGCTGAGAATGCATCCCCTTCCAAAATGTAACTTGGCAAATGAATGGAACCATCCTATATCTACTTGAAGACATATGGATGCTTTCAACTTTCAAGTTGGTTTTTTTTCTTCTTTGCTTCAAACTCCATTGCTTTAAACGTTTTAAACTTTTTTCCCTTGAGTAGTTTGCTTGGTTTGAGTTGTTAATTGTTCATTTTGAAGTAATTCGGGATGCAGAATTAGAGATAATTTATATAAGTTGTCTTTTTAAATTTAATTATGTATATTTGTTGAATAGTTTGAAGGCTTATTTTAAAAAGAGGCATCTTCATTTATGATTTTAGTTATCTGCAATTAGGGCTAAAAGCATTAAACCCCTCAATTTTGCCTTAGTTGCACTTTAGTCATTTCAACTCAAGAAATGGGCACTTTACCCCTTATTTTTGTTTTAGGACAACAATGCCCCTTCTATATTATTTATTATTTTGTTTATTTTTCTCCTTTTTGGCCCTTTTCTACTTGTCCATTTTCTTTATATTTTTAAAATTTTCTCCCTTCTCTCATGTAAATAACTATTATCTTCTCGTTGTTATTAATATCTATATATTAATTAATGTTCTAAAACTTATTCTTTGTTTATTCAACCTTTTTTTTTGTTTTGGAAGTAATAATGATCATAAAGTTTCCGCTATAACAAAGTATATGCTATCTATGTGAATAGACTATTTCATATATTACTTAAATCAATATGTCTAGAGCATAAAATAAAATAAATTTTAATAACAATAGTATAATATTCAAATCGTAATGACATAGTGATTAATCAACTATACATAAAAATAAAAATAATATTTTCTTTATTTTTTGAGGTAAATTTTAAATGTTAAGGAATTTAATATTCTAGTTCACTAATATGTTTTTAAATAGTGAAATTGCTAGTAATATACACTTTGATTGTGACATGCATATATCAATTTTTTACACTAAACAATTTGTTTTAAATTTATTAATAGTATAAATAAATAAAACAAGAATGGAATTATAAATAAAAGATAATTACAATATTATATTAAGCATACTAATAGGAAAGTGACATGAGAGAAGTAAAAATAATAATAAAAAGAAAATAAAAATTAACAGAAAGTAGTGGAAAAAGAAAAAAAAAAAGAGAAAAAAATGAAAAAACAAAAAAATGAAACAAATAGGAAGGGCATTTTTATCTTAAAATGTCAAAGCAAAACTAAATGTAAAATTTAGGGGGGTTTAGTGCATTTTATTTGTGAAGCCATTAGATTGTCTATATACTTCTGTAAAATTTATTTTTGCTTATATTGCAAGTTCTTTGTGAGTGTAGAACAGTCGCCATGTGGCTTAAACTTTGTGCTGATTAGCTAAGTACGTTGAATAGTGTATAGCTCTGAGTTGTGCAATTCAGCCTTGTGTCAATTTGTATTCAAATTTTTATCACAGATTTCATTGTTTGAAAATAAATTTCCCATATATGTTCGGTTACTAAGAAAAATATTGAGAGAATATAGAAAGTAAATGACAGTTATTAGCAATTATTAAAACTTCTGTGAGTAACCAACTGTTTTCCTTCAAAATCCTACAAATTTTGCAAGACACAAAATACATGAAAATGCGAGAAAAATTTTCAAAATTCTTGCCAACCAAACATGCAAGAATAGTGTATAGCTCTGACTTATGCTATTCAGCCTTTTGTCAATTGGTACGCAAATTTTGATCACAGATTTCACAGTTTGAAATTCATGTCCAATGAAAAGTTTTGTTGATACAACATAGGATATAACAAATTTGATACAATAAAGGATACAACAGCTTTACCATGCAGGCACATGACACGTCTAGATCTAGACTGCCTGCCCAAAAGGGATAAAGCATCACAACAGGTAAGAAATTTGGGATGACAGCAGGTAAGATATTCCGAGTGTCATGTGAGTTCCAAAATATTTGTTAATGCAACAAGAAATAAAAATAAACAAAAAGCCTGTCTGCTCTATGGAATTCATATACATTTTAGTAAGTAACAAATTCTTGGCGCAACCCAAAAAAAAAGATGGTCATGAACAAGGTTCTTGTAGTAATAATTTTTTCCCCTCTGATTTCGACAATCAAAGTAAGCTGCTTTCATTTGTCATATCCTTTAATGCAAATTCCCTTGCTAGTCAAGTTGTTCATTGTCCACTAAACAAAAATATTCTTTTCCTTTAAACAAACCGGCTACAATTGTTTTGGTGTCAGTCAAAATTTTATTTCTAAACAGACCGGCTACAATTTGTTAAGATACCCTAATCACTTTTTTATTTCACGTATTCCTGCTCTAAAAAATGTTATGGTAATAATTTTTTCACAAAACTCAGGAAGAAAAAACAAATTCAAATGAAGCCACAGGGGATATCAATTATCGTAAATTGGACAATTTCAGGTTGCAAAACAAGTATAGGGTAGATTTTATTTCAGACACATTTATGACATTTTCCGTAAGGGAGATGAACAATCAAAGTACATTTCTAATAGTACATAAGAAATGTTGCAAAAAAGCTGGTAGGCAAACATTGGTTAATATACTCCCTCGGTCCCATATTTCTTGTATACGATGACAAATATTTTGAAACATTTCGAAATGGAAAGCTACGGAGGGAATAACAGTTTTGTTGCTACTCTGTCTGATACAAACTGATTGAGGTACTCGTCAAGTGTGGTGCATTTCACATCGGGATAGAGCTCCGTTGCCTCCATGCCAAAAGAAGCCTCGATCTCAAAGTTTGCCATTTCTATCCTTCACAAAAACTGTGTATCCCAGAGACAGGATGAATTTTGATGGCATTGAAGCCTCTGCATGAGACACAAGAAAAGAAACCAGTTTAATTAAAACTGTAGAATAGATGCAATTAGTACTAGATGACTATTGTATCAAAAAAATCTTCCGAATTGCACAGGATTTTTTGAGAAATAAGCAGCTTGTGCACTTTGTTTCTCTTTGTTAAGTAGCAGACCTTGGATTTTCTCAAGGACTTCCTTCTCTGGAAGGTAAATCTTTTACGAGGGTCTGGCCAATTTTCCTTTCCCACAATGATACTATTTCGTTGCAGGACAGAGTGTTGGCAGGTGGTCTAAGGTACACAATCTTGTTCAGGGTCCTTGGATCATCTGCTGCTTTAATGGTGTGTGCAGCTATGTCTTCTTCCTTCAAGAAAATGACTGCAAGGAAACATAAAATGGAAGAAAAATTAAGAACGATGATCTCTAAAACATGACACTAAACCAATCAAAAAGATGGAAGCGGACAAAGCTTCTTCTGGATACCTTTTGGATTTCCATCACCAAGAATGACAATTTTGTCTCTGGGAGGACTTGCAGAGCTAGAGTCTCCAAAGGGGTTAAGGAAATAATTCAAATAACCAGCAAAACCATTAGATACTAAATAAGCGTAAGGTATCCCTTCAGCTTCAACAGCTCTGCGGATCTCAGCTTTGGTTCTGTATAGGGCTGTTTCGCGAATCGAGCCGCTCGCGAGCCGATCGCGAGCGGCTCGAATACGAGCTCGTCAATATCGAGTTCGAGTCGAGCTCGAGCCAATTAAGTCGATCTCGAGCTCGAGCTCGAGCTCAAAAATATTAAGCTCGTTGGCTCGCGAGCTCAATTATATATTTATTTTTTATTTTAATAGTAAAATTATATATATATCCCTAATATTTTATTATTTATTAAAAAATTATTATTTTATTTATTTTTAAAAATAAATAATTATTTTTATTTTTAAAAATAAAATAATTTTATTTTTTTTATTTTTTAAGCTCGAGCTCAAGTTCGAGCTCGACTCGAATTTGACTCGAGCTCGAGCTTGATATTTTGAGCTCGTCGAGCTCGAGCTCGGCTCGATTAGGCAAAGCTCGACTTGAGCTCGGCTCGATTAGCCAAAACTCGACTCGAGGTCGACTCGTTTGCACCCCTAGTTCTGTATAAGCTTGCGGCAGACTCAATAACGCCATGCAAACGATCCACATCACTTCCATACTCAGAAGGTAAAAATCTCTAAAACGAAATATAGCTCTTTGATTAGGAACTTGTGAATTGACAGGGATAACGAAAAAGAATTTGTTCAACAGCAGGCAGAGATCGGATCCAAAAAAAAAAAAAAAAGGAATGTATAAGACCATGGTGATGGTCGAAATCAAACGGAGCGCCCAAACTTTTTTCTTAAAAAAAATAATGGCAAGCATGCGCAATTGCACATGTCATCAAATATTTGGCACAAGCTTTTAAGGACTTATATTTACTTTTAAATGATCACCTGAGTGCATTTAGTGGCAACGAATATATGGTTTAGTTCTTGACATATGTATTTGCGAAAGAGAAGGGTCAAACCGTCAAAGTCAATTGAATGTGCTTGTGAAACTCTACTCATATGGGAGATTTAGCGGTAGGATTTCGTCCCTGAATTAGTGATGACCAAACCTGAAGTAAGTGCTGACGGAAAAATGTTGAGTTTTTTTTCCTGAAAAAAAAAAGCATAAACTTAGTACTAAATATTAAACAATGTGCTAGAATCTCTTCATTTGCTCCGATACCACGAGAAAAAAAATGAAAATAACAACAGGAGTGTTTGAATTGATTTATATTTGAAATATTAATTGAAATAATTATTGTAACACTTTGTGTGATGTGCTGTATTAAGATAAAAAAACAGTTGAGAATATAAAAAAGTGAATTCTTTTTTTCTTTTTGTATATTGATCATGTACTGATAGAAGAAGCCTGTATTCATAGGCATTTAGGTACAACGAATCCAAACAATACAATCAATACAATTAATATAATTGATAAGTACAGCAAATCTAGACACTACAATTTAGAAACTAGTCAAGGAACGGAGCCAATCAAGAGATTCATTAATCTCTTTTTCACAAACTATGAATGAGGATGAATTTAGCCATAAATCTCTCATTTTTAAGAGTCTCTAATTTTTTTTTTTCAATTTCTTGCTCGTTAATTTTTCGGGGCAGGTAGTGTTTTGAGCTAACTTATGTGCATTTTTGATTAATTCAACTTCCAACTTCCTAGGAAATAAGTAAAGATGGCAGAAGTTCGCTAATTCCTAGGATAGGATGCAGATACAAAGTCTAGTTAAGTTGTTTTACTTAACCAGAGCAAGTTTGATGGGGCCAACTATAAAAAGGAAATCTAAATCGATATATGAACACATACTATTTTGATTGTAGCTATTTCATGATATGATTTGATACAAATGTAATGAGCAGTAGAACGGAAAAAGTAAACGAGAACTCAATGAAGTAAAAGGAAAAGCTAGTAAGCAACCTGAGACTTATAGAACATATGAGTTAACTGAATACCAATTAATGTTGAAAGCTGCAAAGAGTTGTCTCTTAGCTTCTCTTCTCTTAGAGGAACGTCCATTCCCACTGACCATCAATCCAGTGACCAATGAAAACTTGAGGGATATGAGAAATAGTCTGATAATCTTCACTCCGTTTATCCAAATTCTGTACTTTGTGCATTAGCTCATTAGACATTTCATAAAACGCAAGAGATTCAAGTCTGGTCAAGTTTTGGATGCCCGAAGGCAACTCCTGCATCAGTTTGCAATTACCTAAGCGCAGATTTCTGAGACTAGGCATTGATTCCTCTTCCACTCTCACCCATTTCAGTCTTGTTAATTGCCCAAGCTGTAAGCGCTGGAGTTTTGAAATCCTCCAACCTTGAAACATATTGTCTCCCCTTCATAAGCACCGTAGAGACTAAGTGATATCAGATTGGGCAAATGTCCGAGGGAGCCTATTACATTCTCATCTTCTCTCAACCTACTATTGACCAACCGTAAGATTCTCAAGGATTGAAGTGATGTCACCCATTGTGGTACTCTCTCTAAACGCCCCTTCAATCTCAGAAATGTGAGGAATTCAAGCTTTGGAGAGATGGAATGTTGGAGATCAAGGGTCTCATCTTCTTCAATACAGGAGATGGACAACTGTCGAAGGTTGGTCAGCCTCAAGAGGGAGGAGAGCAACTCCTTTCCATCTTCTCTTCTCAGCTTTGTGATGGCTAATCGCCGCAGCTGCATGAGCTTTCCAATCTCCCTTACTATTTTATCACTGTCTGCTTCTATACGTAACAGATCCTCCAAGCAAATAAGCTTTCCAATTCCAAGTGGACATTTACAGCCCCAAATTGCATACTCATTTGAATAATCACCATATCCGCCTAACAAAAGAGAACGGAGTTTTCTTAGATTTAGAATTTCTGCAGGCAACTCTGTTACATTGGTTCCTCTCAGATCTATAACTTCAAGGTTTTGAAGCTTCCCAATAGATTTTGGAATAATTTTAACTCCAGTTCCACGGAGATTAAGATACCTGAGATGAAATAGTTTGAAGACTTGCTTTGGGATGTTGTCCAATTCAGCTCCATGCAAATCCAACACCTTTAGCAACTTGGGATCACCATGTAAGAACTCGGATAAAAATGTAGTTGTGAGAGGATCTTCATACCCAAATATTGCCACAGACCGAAGACACTTTAATCCACTAAATTCTTGTGGATTATCGGTGAAGTTGTGGATTGCTAGGTGTCGAAATTTTTCAGGCCATCTTGCGTAATATCTGGTGGCTACAGTCGTGAAACTCTGCTCTTTAGATTTTGAAACAATGATTTCACGCACAAAATCGTGAAGACTACATGCATCCAATCTACCATCGTTCAATTTGGATTTAACTTGGATTATGCTTCTGTTGATGAGTTCTTTCATACATCTCACAGCAATGTCGGTGGATGTTATCCCTTCTTTCTCCTCTACAAATCCTAGTGCAATCCATTTCAGAAGTATATCATCCACTTCAATTAGATAATCTTCAGGGTAGATGCTTAGATACAATAGGCAGCTTTTAAGATAGTGAGGCAAATCATTGTAGCTAAGTAAGAGTACCCTTTTGATTCTGTCAAGCTTACCACTGCCATCTGCCTCGCCACCAAAACCATGAAGAATCATCTCCCATTCATCTGTGTTTTCCTTGTCCTTCAGAGCCAAAACACCACCTATTGCAACAATTGCAAGCGGTAGGCCCTCACATTTTTTCAGTATTTTTTTAGCAACTTCTTCTAGATTTGGAGGACAGTCATTGCTCTGAAATGTTCTATTGCAAAACAGAGTCCAAGACTCTTTATCAGAAAGAGGCTCCATCTTATAGACGAAGTTGAGAGATCCTAAACAGGACGCAGAAGCTACATCAGCTATTCGTGTTGTCAATGCAACACGACTAGCAGTATTGCAGTCAGGCAATACACATTTGATAGCTTCCCAGGCATCTATACTCCACACATCATCAAGGACAAGGATGTACCTTCTTTCTCGGAGGAAGTCTTTGACAAATTCACTCTGCATAATATCATCCATGGATTCCACTTCGGGAGGGACCGGCTGTCTGATTTCGTTGTACAACTGTTGGATCAGGTTCTTGATGATGTCACTGAACTGAAAATTTTGAGAAACAGTTATCCAGGCATGGCTCTGAAATTGTTTCTTCATTGCAGCGTCATCATAGACTTTTTTCACCAAGGTAGTCTTCCCGAGTCCCCCCATTCCCACAACCGAAACTACTTTCAATTGGGAATGGTCATCAAGGATTTTTGAGATGAGCTCTGCTTTTGGCTTATCAATCCCAACAAGTCGAGCTTCTTCAATGAAGAGTGATTGAGCACGAATATCAAAATCAGCATTCACCTGACGAGAAGTGCTGAAGCCTCTTTCTTGAGTACCATATAGGGACTGGTACCTCTGATGCCTTGCTGAAATCTCTCCAACTCTGCCCTTGATGTCTTTTATCTCCAAAGAAATTTGATGGCGAGCTTTTAGATTCTTTATTGAGTTATAGATCTTTCCAACCTTACCACAGAATCCATCCTTGTAGCGACGAGCAAAGTGGAAGGTAAAATCATCGAGAACATCCTCTGTATCATAAGCAACTTCTCGAACCTGCTTTAGCCATTCTTGGAGTTGAGAATCATTGTCTTCCTTTGCTTCAGCTTCTTTGAGGAAAGTCTTTATGCTCCCGAGTTCATCTTTGATGAATTGAACATCTGATTTAAGCCCCCCCAAAAGTGTGATCTCTTGGGAAAGCAGGGTTGAGAGCTGTTTAATCAAAAAACCTACAACACTCTCTGCCATGATCAATAGAAAAAGGAAGGAAGGTACCTTATTGCTGCTTTTTGTGATGCTGTCTCTTCCAATAATGCTTTCCAGAGTGCAACGGACAATTCAATAGTCTCCATGGGCCATGGTCAAAAGTTTCCCATTTATTTTTGCATGTGGCCTTCCCTACCCACAGGCCACACCCATCTATATAATTCATATTTTGGGAATTTTTAAATCTTTCTATGACTGCTACTCAAATTTTTCCAAAGGGAGAAACGCGGTTTTGTTACTCAATGTTTGACTTGTGTATCAAACTGATTCCGAATGCTTTAGCCAAAATAAATTTATTCTCCAAATTTTTTTTGTTTTGACTTTACATTTTTAGTTCCTAATGTTTGAAATTTTGATCAACATGGTCCCTTTAGTTTCAAGTAGTTATAGCCAGGGGCTTGAAAATGAAAAAAAAAATGAATTGAATTAAAGATATAGCAAATGCCTTCATAAATCCCTATAAAATTTCATAAAAACACTTTATGTCAACGCAATAGCATCGTTAACGTTGAACTTAAAGAGTTTTATTTTTTTTGAATAAGTTACAATCGTATGACAATAGATATACATAATATATAAAAAAAAAAGAAAGGAGAATTCTAGTGTTAATATAAAATTTATTAGCAGTCAAACTAGTCTACTACACAAGTTCTTGCTTGAATTGCGCATAGCGTTCTTAATTTGTTAGAGTTAGGAATTGTAATTATAAAAACTAGTAACATAAATACCAATATGAAGTGTTTTTACTCATTATGGTTAATTATCAATTAATTACTAATAGTATAAAACAATGGTTTCGTATATTATACCAAATTTGAGGCTGATTATGCAAAAAGGAAGAAGTACATGAGACATTAGTGACATGAATAAATGAAATAAAAAATAAAAGTTTAATTAGAATCGCTAGTACCCATTTAAGATAATTGCACTGTAATTCGCATCTTATTTTATCCAAATACGCTCAATATCACTAATGAAAACTTAAGCGACTAAAATGATTAAAATTTCAAACAATAGGGACTAAAAGAGCAAAGTCAAAACTATTAAATAGTGGTAATTTGATTTTAACCCTTAGTCATTATTGAATTTTCGTCAAATGTCCTTAATGCACCTAATATCAGAAATTTTGAGAACCAAATATATTTGGCCGAAAATGAGAGCCTAATTAGCACATATGCTAAAAATTGGAGACTAAAACTACAATTCACCCGGTTTGTAAAAGAAAAATCTACACCTTTTTTGTTTTATTTTTTGTGCACACATGTGATTTTTTTTTTTTCACTTTTGATATCCAAACCAACTGACATATGTTAATAGATTCAATTGTTAAAATGATTTTATGAATTGTGAGAACAGTAATATGTAAGAAAATTCTATTGGGTAGAATTTTGGGTGGAAGGACTAAATCATTTAGTTTAAATTACATTTTAGCAAACTAAGTAAGTGGAAGAATTAGGTTATAAAACCTCATTTGTACCTAAAAAAAGAGGGGGAAAATAAATATAAATCTCATTTGCCATACAAATGACAATCCATTAACTCAATGGAAAACATGACCATTGGAAGTTACGACAACTTATCGCCACACATTGCATTAGTAAGCCAACTTGCAACTTGTGTCTCCGATGACATAAGCTGAAAAGACCACTTAATTCTTGTTGTCTTAAACAGTGGGTCCTCTTTAATTCTCCTTTATCACAATGCCGAAAGAGCAAGCACTAATATTAAGTTGAGCAATGTTACTTTTTTAAGAAATAAATTAACATAGTTTTTACACGGCTAACTACATATTTGTTTGATTCTTGTCATATGTAAACTAGAAATCAAGTGCTTCAGTCAAAAAGGTAGCTACCTCGGCATTTTATCGTACTTTGGAAATTTAGTCAAATTTACCAAATTTGATGGTTAATATGCTTGGGTTTTAGCATTTATTTATGACTATTATTGTTTTCACACTTAAAAGCTTTTTTATTTAAAATACAAATCGGATATAATGCTGCCAAATAAGGATAATCCGGCATTTTCTTGTACTCAACACGTGTCCTCCTCTTATCAATCATCATATTCGTCAATAGAAACTGATGCTCAAAGTTTTGTTTCGCAGTTGATCTTTTAACTCATTTATCATCATATTCATCCATAGAAATTGATCTCAAAGTTTTGTTTCTTTACCATTAGTAAGAGTACAAAATATTATTAGTTTATTTGTCACTAGAGCTTCCTTAGATTCATGTTGTAAATGGAAAATTTGCATAAAAATTTTGGTTTTATTTATGGTGTAGGAGAGTTGCTCTCAAGTACAATCAAACTCCTAATGACAAAGGGGATACTGAACCTATTCCAAGTTTGAGTATTTCCTTTCTTTAGATTGAATTTTGATGGTTTGTATAGATTCGACTCATTTGTTTTGATTTTGCCTTCTCCCTTAACAATTATATTATATTCAATCATTTGTACCTCAAATGAAAAGTAAATGTAATTATTCTTTTGACACACAAGTTTGTAGAATTGCCAGGCGAAGTGCATATATCTTTGGGAAAGAAGATCCAGGGAATCGCTTGAGAAGATGCACAAATTAGAATTTTTGTTCAAAGTTATTAATGTCTTCAGTACAACTTTTGGTGTTAATTCTCCTTTTTTTTTTCAAAACAGTAGAATTGTATTGATTTGTCAAAAGTATACACAGTGCGAGCAACGGCTCGATACTTACATTGTGCTATTAGCACAATAGGTTGGATTGACGCATTCTATATCTTGATGATTGCTCAAAACTTGAGCACTAAATTGAACACATAGATCAGTCCTATCTACTACTTCTAGGCAAAAGGAGCATTTGTAAAACAGGTTACTCAGCTCTTTGATATCTTGTATCACTGTAGTCATCCATCCCTCAAATGACTTATCCCGATGGATTTACTGTAGCAGCTTTTTTTAGGGACTCCAATGTTTAATAGTCTCCATCCTTGTTCTGCTACTTTAAATAGTGCTAGCTTGATCCCTTCAGCAAGATGTTGGAATTGATTCCCATTTGATCTTTCTCTCATTGCCCATCCCATTAGGTCCTGCCTCCTTTCATCCTTTGCTACAATGCCATAACCAACAACTTTCTTTTCCATGTCCCAATTTACAGCAATCCTAAGATGTTTTCCTCCTGGTGTACCTGCTGAGTGTTGTACTTCGTCTTGGTTGCTTTGTTGCTGAGGACTTAATGTTTTACCTATGCTACAACTCCTAGTTTTCTCCATTGCATTGTTAAACTCCCTCCAGGTAGTGTAGGCTTTGTTGACTACTGCAGCTGGATCTTTTGTCTTTTTGTTGAATTCTTTCTCATTCCTGCCTTCCAGATTTGCCACAAGATATAAGCCATGAGACTTATGTGATTAGTTCCTTGGGCTCTGAATCTAGCTTCAGTTACAATAGTCCACCAGTTCTTGAAATTCCTTGTCAGGTTTCCAATTCCATCCCATTGTATTGGAGCTAGCTTCCATATATCTTGGACTTCCTTACAATTTAGCAGCATATGTTCAAGTGTTTCCATTTCCTCACCACAGTCTGAGCATATTGGATCTCCAACATTTACCTTTCTCCATATCAATTCCTTGACTGGAACTGCTTCTCTTAGTCCTTTCCAGAGTAAGACTTTAATCTTGTGACTGATGTTTAAGTTTCATAGCACTTTCCACACGTGCTGGTTTGTTAGATTGCAACTAGATTCCGCTTCCCTTTCCACCTTCCTTGCTTCAGCCTCTCTCCTTTCTATTGCATGTTTGTATCCTAATTGCACTGTGTATTCTCCATATTGGTTTCCAGTCCAGAACGTCCTATCTTCTCTTTCTGTGACGCTGATTGGCACTTTCAGTATGTTGTCAGCATCTTCCTTGCAGAACATCTTGAAGACGAGGGGTCTGTTCCATCTGTGATCCACTATCATGTCTGCTACTTTATCAATCTGGCTGTTTGCTGGTTTGGGTGTTTTTGGCTTCCCTTGGTGGTTTGTTAGGCAGCCATTGGTCTTCCCAGATTCTGGTCTTCCTTCCATTGCCTATTCTCCTCCTTACTCCCCACCATAGGTCTTCTCTGCCAAAACCAGGAAGCATTCTTTGTTACTTTACAATCTTGTATTCTGCTATTTGGAAAATACTTTGCTTTCAAAACCTTGCTGGATAGCAGATTTGGATTCCTTATTTCCAAATATGTTGCAAGCAAAGCTCTATTAAAGCTCTGTATTTCTTTGAAGCCAAGTCCTCCTTTCTTCTTCCCCTGAGTCAACTTTTTCCAGGCAACCCAATGAATTTTGTTTTTGTTGTCTTGCTCTCCCCACCAGTAGTTAGACAAAAGGGTGCAGATTTTTTTACAGAGCCGGCAAGGTAGTTTAAAGCAAGACATAGTATAAGTAGGCATTGCCATAGAAACCGTTTTGATCAAAACCCTTTTTCGAGCTGTGCTTAGGAGTTTTGATTTCCAACTTTGCATCCTTCTTCCAATGTTGTCTTTCATGAACCCAAAAAGTTGTTGTTTAGTCCTTGTGATCACCATTGGAAGTCCTATGTATTTCCCTGGGTCACATGTTGGATTCCTCCTAGGTCTCTGCATACTTCTTCCTTGATTGTTTGGCTGACATTTTTGCTAAAAAAAAACACTGGATTTGTCTAGATTGATTACCTGTCCTGATCCCTGTTCATAGAGCTTGAGGATCCTCTTCAGTTCCAGCGCTTCTTGCCTGTTTGCTTTACAGAAGATGAGTGAGTCATCAGCAAAAAACAAGTGTGTTATTGAGGGCCCCTTTCTACTAATTTTGACTCCATTGATTCTTTTTTCTTTAGCCGCCTTATCCAGTAGGTTAGAAAATCCTTCTGAGCAAAGTAGGAAGAGATAGGGTGATAGGGGATCAACCCTGTCTTATTCCCCTTTAAGGTTTGATGTACTCCCCTATCCCATTTATGTTGAAAGAATAGGACACTATACTAATACAATTCATGATCCATTTTATCCATATATCACAGAACCACATTTTACTCATCATAGACTGCAAAAAATTCCATTCTACTCTATCATAAGCTTTGGACATATCAAACTTCATAGCC